GAACGATGCCCATCCCTTACTGATGGCTCAGCCGGTGTGCACTTGTTGTGTTTCTTTTCTTTTCTTCTGTATTGCGGCATACTAGCTGAGCTGTTTACCACCTCTAGCTAAAGTGTCTAATGATGATGATGACAAAAATTCACTTCAATGCGACTCGTGTTTCATGTTGAGATTGCGCGCCGCAATCCGCTCACACAACGTGTACCTCAAAATGACCCTCCAGTCAGTTCTGCGTTTCCTTCAACTCAGGCTGTACTAACTCTGAGCTACCCATCTAACACATGCCGATGTTCTCAACCATTTAACTTTTCGATTCAAATGATGTTCATATCAGTTTGTCTGACTGGCGATTTGATCCACATCTATTTCGTTCATTTGGCCCATCAACCACCAGCACCTATTTAGTACGTAGGCCTGTGTTTTAAAAGAATCTTGCACATTTGGCCGCATTAGATCACAGCACCGGATCACACTGGTTTCTGCTAGCCTCGTTTGCCCACCGATGTATGATGTAGATACTCGTTAAAAAGCGCTCAAGACAGCGCCTGATGTGAATCGCGATTGATCTTAAAATTCCCTCTTTTGATACAGATAACTATAGAGTGGACCTGGCTCCAACTCTATATTGCACCGATTTTTATTGATTGTCCTCCTAACAGAACTACACGTTAGCGGCTACGCGTTACGGTTTCCCGGAGGACACTTAGACGCGTGCCGCTTGCTTTTCGGCTCAAACAAAAGAATGGACTGTTTGCAAATGTGGCACGTGCATACCTTCTCGAAGGTTAACCCAAAAAGTTGGGAGATTTGGAACCCAGTGTCATAGAACCACTGGATCTCCAGCCATTACACCTTCTCTATTGCGACGTAAAGTTGAGACAGTTCATTACTTTGTCGCAACGTTCCACTTGAATGGTGCGCCTTTTAACCCCAACATATGTTATACTACTCAGCTTGAACCGACAGCCCTTCGTACTAAATGCAGTTTCCTACCAAGAAAACTATATCAGTGGGGTCGGTTGACGACGGGAGGATTCTCGACTAGGCCACCCACCTGTGTGTGTGCGCTCATGATATGCATCCAAACAAAGTGCTCTGTCCAAAGTGTGCACTTTTGCGCCGTCAAGTTTCCACACTGAACAATTGTGAAACTTTTTGCACTATCAGAAGCGTCACGTACGTTTATCGACAATGTTTTTCTTTTACATTTGTGATATATGCAATCTGATGGTAATCCTTCGCATGACCAACGTCTTTTATCAGAAATGATGCACTGGGGCCCCCATTGTGTGAACTGGACTACAGCAAGATCAAAAGCAATATCCAGCTGATCGATGATCGTAGAAAATGTTACCTACTCCAAGCACTGCGCTGGGTACGTTGGTTTTCATTATCTTTTGCACTATCAGCAAATGTGCCTACCTGACTGCTGAAAGTAGATCGTTACCCACCATTAACTCAATTATCCGAAATAAAAGTTAATTGCGCCTGCATTTTACGCGGCTACTATGTCAACCTAAAGGATACATCTTCCTACATCCCCCTTGATCATGTCTCCATATTTCGTTTATTGAATCTTTTTGTTTAAGTGAACACGTTTCAATCTCAGCATAAAAATCACTGTGTTCAAAGATGTCATAAAAAGCAGGATATATTGTGCACATTTCGAAATTCGGTGCCTTTTAACTCACAAGTCTGAGGCTGTCCCAGAGCGTGAGTGTCCACTATGACAACTGGCATCGAAACGCTTATCAGTATTGATTGAAGTGGCATAATTCTAGGCCGCTTGATTCACTGACTAAGTGTTTAATCAGTCGCGACGCCACTAAACTTTAACGCGGTGCGACAGTTTGTTTACCTCACCGATCCATTGAGATATATTGCGTGGTGCCCCCGGGGCCTTTGAGAGCTAATCCTACCAGATTGATCAATCCTTAGTAGTTAGACTCATTTTCCTGTGCGTCCAGGCTACTGTTAAACAGAATCGCTGCCATTTCGCCGCTGACTTGCGGTTGGGCTTTTGAACCAAAGGCTTTGGTTAGGAACCCTAATCATCCTCCTGTCTAGGTCTGGGCGCCTTCGTAGTATCCCAGCTCACGTGCAACCATGAACAAACCAATTTATTATCAACCTTCGGAAATCCCGTAGTTCCAAAAGCGTTGTCTTACCTGCTACATACAGCGCGGTGGATAAGTGAAAACATGCCACGGCTGTTGTTTACTTCTTCCTCTGTTGTCTTTTCCTCTTACTCTCCTCTCAACCCCCAGCACTAACATTCCGTTTATAATTCCCAGCTTAATTGGCAATAGCTGCAGTATCATTGGAGTTCTGCTGTCCGCAACTATCTTCCTGTATCACACACCGGACTCCTATCTGTATCATACGCACATTGTCCTCATCGCACTCTAAGACAAAACTAGACCAATAGGCTGCACTCACACGCACATCGATGTTGTAGTGTGCTGTGTCTGAAACTAGGATAAATCCCTCTCATATGGAAGTTGGACTAACTACGCCACTCTTGTTCTCTAAATCTTAGTTGCACGCCTCTGGAGACGCTGATGCGGCAGCCACTGCTCAAGCTGGGGTGCGCATCGTTCTCAGCTCCAGCGCTGAACCATCGCTAGTTGATTGGATTCCCGTGAAAAGCCGCTTACGTAACCAGATCAACGACAGCTGATCCATAAAGTAGCACTAGGCACTTTGCTTGTGGTTGTCGCCTACGCGCCCACCGACTTCACTTCTGATGATGCCAAAGCCACCTACCGCGAGCTTAACACGTTGCTACGCAGGGTTACCAATTTGTTTCTATTTATTATTACAGGAAACATGCATGCATCTGAGCTCCTCATAAGCGCAGCTAGTTAGCAAGTGTGGGCTTAACTCCGAACGGACGGATAACAGCGTGCGTTTGTTGCAATTATGAAGGGATCGCCGGATCTTTCTTAGCAGCACTGCTTTCAGGCACAGTGGGCACCGAAGTGCAACTTGGACTTCCTACACTGCTGACCAGCAATGGACCGGATTAGATCACGTCATAAGTCACAGCTGGTGTAGTCGCATGCTGGATTGTCGCCCAAGCTAGAATAAGTGCGTCGACTCTGGTCATGCTTAAGTACCTTGTTGATCTCCATGAACTTCACTGAAGACCTAACAAGAGTCTCCTTCGATTTGCAACTTGGAGTTTAAACTATCCTTCAGTCAAGCAGGTCTACCAGCATGCCCTGCTTACTGAACCCACTTCCGTCTTGCCCTAAGGACACCTAGCTTCAGTAGAAGAGAATATCAACCGCAATGCATTTGCAGCGCTATCAACCTTCACCGTCCTTGTCACTGGATATCTCGGAGGTCGATAAACCTGTTGGAAGCCATAACAATACCCTTTGCTCGCTCCGAACACAATATAACCAGGCGGACTACTAGTTGCGGACTAAAGCGGAACCTGTGCCCTGACAAAGATGCCTGGTTAACTAGTAAAGGTCAAGAAATGCAGGAAGCGGGGGCAGTAGGCCATTGCCACATACGTTCTCAACTGATGCGCACCGCCGGTCCTGGGAACCCACACATAAGTGAGACCATCAAGTGCACTCGCGCGCTCTAATTCACACTAATTGACACGCTCTGGCTGAGCACTTTCGAGAACAGTTTAGTTGGACCGCTACTCCTGGACCTCTGCTTGTTCAAATGGTGCGGGTCAGACAATGGCAGTTTAGTTCAGAGGATCCATCGTGGGTTGAGGTCCGAAACGCTATTACAGCCGTCAATACTTTTCGAGTTGCTGGTCCGGATTCCCTTGAACCAGCTGTATTTAAGGATAGTGATGTGGGCCTCAGAAATACACTGGCCCACATGTTCAAACAAATCCAGTAGGAAGGGATTATCCCAGCGAATTAGAATGAGTCGTTCATAGTGGTTGTCGATGGGGTCAGCCACACCGAAAGTGCTGGCTGCTAGGGCACTGGCCTAGCGCCAGTGGTGTAAAGATATAGCCATCACTGTGGTACGGAAATCTCGGATTAGAGGAGAGCATTCAGATCTTCGTCCGGCTCGGGTTTGCACAAAAGATATTCAATCTAATTGAATTCTATAATTCAATTCTATAGTAAATTCAGTAAAATTCAAGCTAATCTAATTCAATCAAATTCAATCAATCAATCAAACAAATTTAATCTAATGCAATTCAATCAATCGATTAAATCAATTCAGAAAACAAAGTCAATCTAAACAAATTCAATCAAATTCAACAAAGCTAAATTCAATCTAACAAATCCAATCAATTCAATCTCAACAAATTCAATCAAAGAAATGCAATCTAATTTAAGCATTCAAATTCAACTAATTCAATCAATTCAACTAATTCACTCAACTCAATTCAATGGTCTGAAAGACCATGTGTTCGTGGCCACATTGAGAGCCGTCCTACTCTACGGAAGTGAGACTTGGCATCTTCGATCTGAAAAGCTGAGGTGCCTCCAAATCATTATTTTTTGCCGCTCGCGAAGCGTTGTTGTTGTCGGATGGCACCAGCGCGTTCGCAACGATGCTGTGCGTAGGTGATTACCAGGCAATGATAACCAGGCTAGCTCCCTAAAACAACAGATAGCGCTTAATAAGTTCCATTGGCTTGGGCGTGTACCACGTGTCCGGTCACTGCTAATCGAGGAGGACTTTGTATGTTTGCGGGATATCGCCTGACGCATGAATCGAAGAAAGTGAAAGTTGGCGGCGATGGGATATGAGGTCGCTGACTACTAAACTTAGCGCTGTTGGTCCGTATCGCTTTCCTTGTTGTAGTCCACGTAACCTTGATGCACTACGGGACATGGCTTGCAGTCGACATCAGTGATGCGTTTTATATCGTCTGTTAGTCTGACTACATGTCCTCTAGGGGGTAATGACTGATTATGACACGGGACAGTGAAAGCCGCAAGGAAGCTCTCTTGTGGATACCGACTAATCTGTCTGTTGGGTAGAATGTTGCTCCTGTATACTGCCCGATAGCTAATTGTTTATGACCATACGTTATTGAGAATGCCTAGGCAACTTGTTCCTGAATGTTTTCTTCGGTCGTTTAGTTCTTACACTAGATCCCCTTTGCTACCTGTTATTATTTTTCACCCTTTGTTCATTGCGATTGTTCGGCCTGTAGCCTTAATAGATCCCAAGCCTGTCTTGTAATCTGAGCGCACGGGTTCAAGTCTGTGTATGTACCGGGCGGTGCTCGCAGTATCCTTAGTGCACGTGCGACCGGTGATAGTTGCGCGACCACGAAGCGTCGGTACTGCGTACCGGCTTACCGCTGATGCCTTGCAGTGCAGCATCAGTTCAAGTGGCTGAAATAATGCTGCTGCTACCTACTCGGAGCGTCACTATGAACGAGGAAAATCAGGACTTTCCCCATAGTAATACAGACCGATCATACGAATGAAGTACCACGTCCATTGGTCGGATTTCGCAGCCAACAGGTCACGGTGTAGCTTGCCCTTTAACTAAATCTAGTTAAGGAGGGATTGTTGGTAGCAATAAAACACCTTCCAGTCTTCCCATTATGTTGTATCCTACAATGAAAATGCCTATCATAAATGTCGTAAATCCGTTTCTGCACAGATTTAGAACCTTTTATATAGCTAATGTTGCTGTCTATATGACCGTCTTTTAAGGTTTTCCGTGGATAACCCATTCTTTTAATTTTTAAAGTTTAGCACTAACAGCCATCTCCGGAAAACAACAAAGCTCATATCTGAGTACAATTGGATAGCCGGTAGTTTCGTTTTCGCAAGTCTAAGACTGGAAATGCGAACTGGCGTCAGCTATTTCTGCAAGCTATACATGTGGCTGCATTTTATTCACTCAGTTCCACCAATTCGAAACATTAAACTCTACGATCTTTCTGACCAATGAGTGCCAAATGATGGGATCAGATATTGTTGAAGTTTTAACAAGTTGTAAATATGCAGAAGTGCTCCTATTCACATACCTTGACAACAGCGTGATTAGGAGGGCGCTGAGTTTAAGTTCAGCTTTCGTCCATCATTTGTTGCAGACTCCCACATACATATTCGCATTGCTTATCTTTACAATGCGGAGACGCACTTGGGGTTTCCAATGCCTCACAGGTTTCATACCCTTAGTGAAGCGGTTCTCCACTTTTTTGTGGCTGTTACCTCCATAGCGGGTTCATTATAACCAATTTCCCCAAAAAATTTTAGTTTAAAAGTTAACTAACGATAAGTTTTGCTTTTAACTATGAAAACGGATACTATATTTAATTACTTTAGATCGTGTAACTAAATAAAACACCTATTTTTGTGCAATTTTTGAGTAAGCATGGGGTGATGTGCTTTAATGTGACGACTGACATTGTTTAGTTCTGACATTTTCTGACATATTTAGTGCACTTTCGACTAATTCACACCGTAAGTCATGCTCCAAGTTCATTCAGTTCCTTGCTTTGGTGTGTGATCCGTGATTAAACACGATCAAATGTCAGTGGCGCCTCATTTGTTTCAATCATCCTTACAACTTCTTCCTGAATGACAGCTTCCCACCACCATACTGTATCAGTAAGTCCTGAACACTAATCGCCTGTTTTGTTTTTCTACCTCATAAACATTCGCTCGCCTCTTTACCTGGTCCGCTGACCTATGCTCCCAACTTAGCGTTCACAACTCTGTTATTTGACCCATCGAGAAACGGCCAGACTCCAAAAATCTACGGTCGACGAGTGCGCTGAGAGGCGCCACCTAGTTGCGCTGCTTTGCAAGCTTGTATTTATACTTTAGGTCCAAATTTATTTTTACATTATTCATCCCAGTAGTTCACAAGCTACATAGCATAGCCTAGTCCAAAAAAGCACCGGACGCGTTTCGCCCTATTGGGGCTCATCAGTGATGTGCATTCCCTTGGTCCCCTACTGGGGATCGAACCCATGACCGCTAGAGGCAGATGCCAACTAGTCAGTAGCTTAAGCCACTGAGCCATGGGGGACGTTTGCTGGGATACATATTTTGCTAGCCAACTGGGATATAGTATGACGTGACTTCCACTGTCACTGACAGTGGCTAGCGTGCGTGGTCACGTCTTCTCGCTAGACGCTATAATATGTGAAAATTGGAGAGGCTATATTTTTATGTTACTCGTGAGTAGCAGGATTTTAGTTGTAATTTTTTAAATATGCATCAAAAAATGCCTCTTGAAATCACTCATGCTCAGGATGAATGCACTTTTTCTTTTGCGTGCATTTCGGAGCAATCGCAAAGTGACCGTCCCTGTAAGATGTAGAGGCTTTGGACCGTACACCAAGGCTCTTAGACAGGTTCTGCTGCATTTTAACCTTAGGCAGCACCAAAGTGTGTTGTAAATCGGCAGGTCTGCATCCACCGTGGCTTCGCACCATAGGTCGCAGGCTGGCAGCCGCCCGATATGAGATCAATCGTTACTCTTTTTTGATAGGATGCTGATACGTCATTATAAGATTGATTTGGCTTAAATACATCCCATTTCTCGTCTAAACTTAGTTCTGAATCGAGTGAACGAGCGATCAAGGGAAGCTCCTGTGCCATTGCCAATAGATTTGCCTTTTCAGATGAGTTCATGTCTGGTCTTCACAAGGCCTTTGTGGCTTTTAAGCAAAGTTCAGAAAATAAGCTTTCCCGATCTTTCCGTCAGCGGTCTAACCCTTTCGTGACTGTTTATGGTAACCGAACCGCGAATTTTTATATTCTTGTTCCTCATTGTTTATAGGTTGTTGATAATCAAGGGAAGTTCTAGGAATGAACCACCACTATTCCCAATGTTGTTTTCTACCCTCATTGATGGCATTCGCGATCCAACATAACCACTGCACTCAGCTTATTCGCGTAACATAAAATATTTATTACCAAATATTTTCTAATTCACTGGTCACTCGCAAATTTTCAGTCACTGATGGCTAATCAATAGTGATTAGGCAGTTAATTACACGTTTCCATAAAGATGAATTTAGTCATACTTTTGTTTGGCGACCGATTGATGACCCAATCCTCGTACTTATCCCTACCCCCCCCCCGTAAAGTTTCATTTCACCCCGTTGGGAGTTGAGCACCACTGCCTTCGAGTGATACTGTACTTAGAATACGAATTTATATTTTTACTGGAGATCGTAGATCATTTACGCCCCAACCAACACAATACAATCTAACAATAACTGTGGAGATATAATTTTAGTACTGATTTCCCCCCCCCAACTACGACTTGTACGGATCAGAAATTTACATCACACAGCAACGCAAACAAACTTTGTGCATTAGCGTTACTAACGCTATCAGAAATTTAGTTTTACGTGCAGTGCTCCTCATGTTGCTCAAAAATGTTGCAATTTCTTGCATGTAGACATTTTTCAAAATGAATTTATGCAGTTCTGCTTATCCCGGCGTTGGTGTGCAAGGGACGCATCTCATAATCACTTTCATAATTATTTTACCATGGGCTTAGTGCGTCAAAGGTTGCATGATTGAAGATATTTTGTTTAGTATCTACTACATACATCATGGCGCGACACCGACTCGAATTAATTGCCATCAAATCACCGTATTTGGTGAAACTATCCTGAGGAACATGCTAGAGAACTGATCGAGTTAGTCAAATAGTTAGACACATATGTGGATATAGTTTATTTGTTGACAACGCGAGCTGCCATGAGCTGCAGGAGCGGTGATCAATAAAATCTACATTTTGCTCCATTAATAACTTAATAAGGGAAACCGCAAGTGGCGAAATAACTTTCACAAATGCTTATGGTAGTACATTTCCTGATGGGTTTAAGTTCCCACTACAATTGAACTGCTGTAGTAAGCCCCTTAGTCCATGTTGAATACTGAAAGTAAAGAGTTAGTAGGCCTGCGTCTGTGTTGCTTCCTCGTAATGAATTTCTGGCACGTGCGCGAGTCACCCCACTGATTCCTGAGCATCTGCTGCATATTGCAGCTGCGCCAAACGCCTTTCAGATGCGATGCACGCCCTGTATCTGAAATCCGCAAAGTGGGTGTCTAGGAATGGTTTGAATTCCGACACCGATTTTGCCTCGACAATTCTCGCAAGCAAAATGTTCTAATATTTCACCACCCGGTGCTCGAAGCATAGTGCGTTGGTTATCCGCTTTGGGTCCAGTACCACTAGCTTGTATCGGTGCCCGTGAAAGCTGCTTGGTGCGTGCATGTGAAGCGGTGTCCAAAGCATGCGGAAGTGACCCAGATGCAATATCCGGTACGTCATAATGAGGTCAACTCTAAAGCGACAACACGACAGGGTGTACAGCCCTAGTCGTCTGCATCGGCCGTCGTACGGCACATTCCTTAAACTGGGGATAAACCCAGTAGCCACATGCTGAAGACGTCCCCGATTTTTCAGCGCGCCACGAATGACCGGACAATAGGCGGGTGATCCGTACTCGAGCACCGGTCATTTGAGAGGAGAGAAGAGGAAGATGGCAATGTCTTCAGACCAAATGCAAAAGCTGCGTTTGGGCGCCCAAAGCATGCAGTCTGTTTCCATATAGCTTGTTCGTGTTGTCTACAGACTTCACATCGCAGCATGATAGTGCGATGAAATCCTTCACGGAAGGTGTGGAATGTATCGGTTGGCCGGTGAGTGTGCACGTGCGTCCATCAACATCCTTCCCCAAGCTCATATATGAGGAGTTGACTGGGTTGACTGGGTTCGATATCTGCAGACCGCCTGGGCAGGAGGTCGAACTCTTCCTGAAACACGTCGCAGTCGTCGGAGGCATCAATTATTCTCCAATTCTTCAGGTTATCTTTAAACAAGGCCCAAAGCGACCGAAGAAGCTGAAACACTTCGTTGGTGGATATCAGGAATAAACTGGGGTCCACTGGTGGAGAGACACCAGTCCGATAGATTGTCATCCACCTGTACCCTCCATTTCCGTCCAATAAGGAACTCGCTAGTCCAGTGGGACAGTGAGCCACCAACACCGCACATCCTCATCTCCTTGATGAGAACCTTATGGCTCACTTTGTCGAATGCATTAGTAAAATCACTGTTGATCCCGTCCACCAACTTCCCCGATTCAACACTTGCAACCAACTTTACTTCATCAACAGCAGGTTCGCGATACAGAAGCAACCCTTCACGAAGCCATGCTGTTCGATGGTCAGGAGGTTTTCCAACCCCATCACCCACAGTAAACCACTTTTCACGATATTCTTTAGTACTTTGGCCAAAACGGACCGTTCAATCGTTACTTTGCGGTACACAGTGTTATATGTCAACTACCGAGTCATGATGGGAGCCGTCTTACAACCATCAAGTTCTACTTCTGGCTGCCATGGTCGCCGAGCCAGTGAAGTGAACTTAAGGGAGGAAAATTATTATTTTTTTAATGCTAGTTCTCTTCCACCAGCTGTACTCGTATACCAACTTCAAATGGCAACTTTTTGAAAGCTTCACAAATGCGTTGCTTCTCTGGGATTATCATTGGTTGCAATTGACCCATTTTACTGTGAGCCTTTCCATTTTGACTTTTGAGACCACATTGGGGAATTACAATATTGTGTTACCATATGGATTCGTAACCAATGCTACCTAAGTTTAGTGAGGACTTGACTAAATGCGTACATTCCTCTTTTACTTCTATGACCAGCTGATGTTGGTATGCATAACAATGTTCTGCGTTTTCTGTCACGTCTGCCAGCAAAATAGCCAAATCAGGTTCCTGAAGGTAGTTGTACTCTTTTTAGCTTAAGTTCTGCTGTGTCGTGTGGTTTGACCATATCATAGCAGCGCACGTAGTGACGTACCAAACCGAGTATGAAGTCAAAAAGAGCAAGTAACTGATAGTTCCGGCCCCTTAAACTTCCTTATGATCAGAACATCATGCTTTGACCATTTATGCTTGCTATCCCCTGTTGTCCTCCTATCCACTGGTCAACTGATCGGTGTCTCATCCAATCAACCCCATATTAAGTACCAAAAGTTCACCTTTCTTCCCGGATTCAGAGGCTTACCAAATCTACTGTGCAACAACGTGAACAATGTCTGACCTCTTTTGTTCGTCGAGACCTGTTGGATTTAACAACTTTGGGACCTCAGACCGAAGTTACATCGTCAAAAGCTCCACTTCTTGCGTGCCTTCAATCGAAACATCATCGAGTGCGAGAGTACATGGCGCGCTTCATCAACGCTTTGGCCTCTCTATGTCGAGGCAGGTGTTACTGTATAAATTTTCTAAACTTCTCAATTCAGGTAGAGCATACTTGGCTCAGAATGCAGCAGTGGTGAAGATTCTCATCGTTGAAGTTTTAAAGGAGCACGATGAGTCGGTAACGCGTGAAAATTTCATCGGTGCTCTCCAGAAGATGAGTCTGAGGTAAGACTCCCTCAGATATCCAAATAACTGCTTTTGTAGTCCAATTTGCTCCTGTTAACTTCGTATCTTCTTTCATGAGCTTTTCTTCGCCCTATGCACATTTCCAGTCTATTCATCTCCGTTTTAGCGCACTATTTCACCGTCAACAACTTTCATATAAACTTACTTTTTAGCCATACAACACTCTTTAATTGTGTCACCGCTTCGGTGATGATAAGTCCGATGTAGATGCTCTGCTGTTTGGGGATATTTGAAACATTTACTATGACCTAGAATTTGTCCACAAACTGCCCATGCAAGTCGTCGGAACGTACAGTTTGTCATCTTGAATCCGTCAGACGTTAACACCTGTTTCTGATGCAAAATTTAAGCACATCATTTCAGATAGGCTTAAACAATCGGTTGATATTTATGGTTGTCGACGTTTCCTTCTTGTCTCAACAGCTTCGTCAGGCTAAGGGACTGGTACATAATTAGCGTAGCATTTAGAGCAAACTATGAGGGTAGTCACCAAAAACGAGCGATATGACAGAGTGTGGGCACCGTAAAGAGTCGACGCGTCAGCTCAAGTGTTACATCAAGATGGGAAAGGTCCCGAGTTGTTCACATTACGAGGTCACCACGTGTAATGCATTGTCGGTGATGACAGTGGGAGTCGTTTGATGTTCGATTTTTAAAAGGAATCTGTCCGCTGACACTTATGAGGCTGGGCGGGATAAGGCGACTTGCCACGCATTTGACAAATCCGCCTCATCCATTCTGATTGCGCAGCTGTTGACTCTGGTTATTTCCAACGCTTCCGCAATTAGCCTTTGAGGTGTTGATCACAATCTCCTCCACCTCATGTCATGTGACTGGTGCAGCACCGATACCGTCGAATCTCTTGGCACCGATCATCATACTCATCATCATCAACAGATCTTAGCTGAGGGTGCGAAACACCTCAGCTAATGTGGTGCCGTACAAGATACTAGAGTACTAAACATTACAGAATAAAAAGAATAAAAATCTAGTTGTATAACGCTAGGTATCATTTTGTCTAAGAGTCGTGAAATCATGATTGGGGAGAGAGGCGAAGCTGGAAGTGGAGGGACAAAGAAATTCATAACACAAACGCCAATAAAAGCGACCTTTCGCCATATCAACAAGTGTATCCAACCTAACATTTTCATCGTCCTTCGGACTTCAGTCTGAGAGTTTGGAATCACCAACCAACGCAAAGTTTGAGATGAAGGTCGTCAATGCTTTTGACTAGGTCATCGCCCTGCCTCCCCTCCTCTTCTTCCATCCACGCCTTGGTCGCACAAACAACGCACACTGCGGGAGTCGGCGCTCGCTACATGTGGCCCAGCCATCGGAGTCTGGTGCGTGATACTACGGTGCTGAGAAGTTCACTCTCTCTTCCTGCACCAAATGCACGACGCGGAACACGCTCATTGATCAGGCGGTGTTCCCACCAAATGTAAGCTAAGCTGCGAAAGCACCAGTGGTCAAACGTGGATGGCTCCTCTATGTCTGTCGACCCCATGGTCCAGGTTTCCCAACTGTAGATTTGGGTTAAACGCATGGCTGCGCTGTAAACTCTATCTTTCAGGTTGAGCGTGATGTCGCGTCGGCGCCACAAGTGATAGAGATTGGCAAAACCGCCTCCATCGTGATGTCATCGATCCGACGGGCGTTAAAATAGCTGCCCAGATACTTAGATTTCTCGACGACTTCTAACTGATCACCACCAAGGTCCAACACATCGGTCGGACCTTGACAATCCTGGAAGGACTTTCCATTTAGACTGTGCAAAGGCAAGCCCAAAACGACTGACAACCAGTTTAATCTGTCCATTACTACTTGACACATCGGGGAACTGTCACAGATTATGGCAATGTCGTCTGCGTTTTCCAAGTCAAGAAGTCGGCCACATGGAAGCAGCACCACACCTTTTAGGTCGTGTTCAGCGAATGCCATTTCATTGACTGTCAGTAGCAATGTTGACGATGAAAGTTGACAGCTGGCAACTTTTCTCACGCTGCTGGAGAGGGCAAAGGGTGGCGACAGTTTTCATAACCCACACTCTGCCCGAACTATGTGCCTACAGCGCTCCTTTGATGTCGAGGAACACGACTACGGTGGGCCGCCAATAGATATGACGGTGTTCCAATAAGTAACGTAATGTAAATATGTGGTCAATGCAACTTTTCATTTCGGCGAAACCCCAACTCACCACTTGAATCTGGCTTTCACGGATTCTGGCCAGTTTTTGATGAACGACAGCTTAGTAACTTAGAGACAGTTGAGATCAGACTGGTTTCTCTATGATGGCCGCCTTCTGAACGTGAGTCACCTTTGATTACCGGAACTAAAACGGAGCTGCTGCAGTCTGTTGGGAAAGTCTCCTACTTACACTACTTCACTGGTAGGTTGTGCAAATTGTCCACCAGAGCGGGTCCGCCGAATTTGAAAATGGCTGGAAGAAATCGATCTACTCCTGCGGCCATGTTCCGTTTCAACACTATGATCTCACATCCTACCTTTTCGCGTTAGGACATATCCAAAGACATGGTCCGGGAATAATAAGAGCCAGTGCTCAATAAAAAAATGAGAACTCAGGTTGGTTAAAATGCATTTCATCGTGTTCGGCCCAACGATCCTCCCAACAGCATCAGCATCTTATCAGCCACTTGAACTGATGCTTCGCTGCCGTACAACCACAATGAACTGTGGGTGAAAAATAATGAGAGGCAGCGAAGGGGATCTAGGATAGGAACTAAACGACCTAAGAAAACATTCAGGGCAAATTTGACTACGCCATATCAACGACATACGGTCATAGACAGCTGGCTCTCGTGCAATATATTTTAGAAATTTTCTACGCAATAGACAGATAATTCCTTATCGTCAAGACAGCTTCCTTAGGGCTTTCACTGACCCGTGTCATAATCAGCCGTTGCCCCACAGATGACTTATAGTCCGACTAACAGATGACGGAAAACGCGCCACTGATGTCGACTGCGAGCTATGTCCCGTAATGCCTCGAGGCTATCTAAAGGTGGGTTAGGTGGACTACAACTTGGAAAGCGATACGGATCAACAGCGCCCAGTTTAGTAATCAGTGACCTCATATCCCATCGCCGCCAAATTGTACCTACCTCGGCTCTGACGTCAAGTGACCTCCCGCACGCAACCAAAGCCCTCTTCAGTTAGCGGTGACCGGGCATATGTAGTACGTGCTCAAGCCAACGCAACTTATTCAGTGCTATCTGTTGTTCTAAGGAACTTGCCTGATTATCATTGTCTGGCAGTCGCCTGGGCACGGCATCATTGCGGACACGCTAGTGCCATCGGACAACAGAAATGCTTCGTAAGTACTGCGTTTAAACCTTTGTAAGGGGCTTCATCCCCTCAGATCGGAGACTGCAAGTCTCACTTCTGTAGAGTAAGACGGCTCTAACTGTGGCCTTGGATACATGGTCTTACCGACCGAGGGGAATCCTCTCTTGTGCCAAAGATGTCGTACATGGTAGAAGACAGTTGTAGCTTTTGCAATACATGAACTGATTTCTGTGTTTATGTTCCCAGCATTGGTGGTGCAGCTGCCAAGGTAAGTGCATTGATCAACTACCTCTAATTCCTCGCCATCAAAGTCAAGTGGTCATCAAGTGGCTGTTGTCCTTGCAACAACAATTTTCACCTTGAAGGTGCGAAGCGCATGTCAAATGCTGGGACCAGTCTGGAGCTTTTATTCATAATTGACTGAGCTACCCCAGCATAATCATGAGCAACTAGTTTCTCACAAGGCAGCATCTCAACGATTGTATCGTGAGATTCTGCTCGGAATCACTCCGTGTTGGAGTCCATTAAGAAGTTGAACAAAACTTGGAAAATCGGACAACCGTGACTAGTGTAACTTTTTGTCATAGGGACATTGATAATTCGCCGTTAGCCCGGACATATGTTGTGGTGTTCCAGTACATTGCACGTAAAATGTTCCCATATTCCACCGGAACACGCTTTCGCACACGTATCTCGAACAGAATGGTCCGATCGACTGAATCGAACGCACTGTTGAGTTCGAGGAACACAGCAATTATCGGTGTGTGTTAAGCTTGGCGCTGCTCTAGCACCTGCCGCAGAGTGAATATGTGATCCATACAGCCACGTCCAGGGCGGGAACCTTCCTTCTCTTCCCTAATCCGGGATTTGTGTTCTGCAGTAAGTCGACGAACAAGAGTTGAGAATAGTAATTATGTCACCACCTGCTTTAAGCTAACACACGTGTGATTAGCAGGGTCGGTGCGACTGCCCTGCTTGTATAGTACCACTAAGTTCGAATCACTGCGGTTAAATGGGATAGCTTTATTTTTCTAACCCTGTTCGAACAGAGAGCTTAGTACTTTACGACGAACCTCACCTACACACATAAATAGTGCATGTTGGAGGGAATCCGGGCCAGTAGCACGAAAACGTTTGTTGGCTCTGATTGCGTTTTGAATATCAACATCCGACGGAGCCATGGCTCAGCTTACATTACTCAAGTAGAAACAGTTCCGGGATCAGGAGGCCAGCTAAACTGATCTCGAAAGGGCTCCGCCCTACAACCATACGACGTTCCTTATTGTGATTCATAGTACATGCGCTGTCTTTGATTGTCTCGCTGGCGTCAGGTTTTCTGGGACCATTGGTGCGGATCAGTTGGAAGAGCTTGCAAATTTGCAAACTGCTCCAACTGTCTTCCTTGTCACCACGCATGCTTCGCTTTAATTCGCACCTGATAACCCTTCTGGTTACATATTACTGAGATCCAGCCGGGACTCTTCTTCTGGATTCCAACAGGTTTACCGACCTCTCCGATACCCCGTGACTGGTGTGGGAACGAGGCTCCCGCATCGTGCATGGCGGCCGAGATCTAATTCAACTGAATTACGCTCAGTTACTGAATGGCATACAGGACTATGGTCTTGTCATCGCTTCACCAATTTCTCTAGTATTGACAATATCATACATGA